AAAAAAGCAACAGAGAAGAGAAATATTGTATACCTTTCGCGGGCACGATGCGGGTTCCATGTGAATCTTTTAACAATGTCTGTTCTTCGCTACCCACGCCGAATTCTTTCTTCGTGTAACTGCCTGCCATTTTTCCGTAGTTTTTAAACTTCGTTCGAATTAAGGGTTGTGTGGTATCAGAGGTTAATGCAGTTCACATGTCAGCCAAGCACTGGTAAAATTATCGTAATTTTATCTAAATCTGGCTTCTTCTTTATCGTGTGGACGGATGTTATTAAAGTTTGAAATTATAGTTGGAAAGTTTTTACAAATTGTTATTTAATCGACATTTGTAATATCTTTTCAACCACGACTCCTTCAATCTCTTTTCAAGGGAAAAAAGTTTCGTCGGTACTTCTTATAGTATCACTGCATGATCCGTTGGTTAAGGCGTGGAGTTATGAATAGAACTGTTCCCCAACGTGCACGATGTAGCATGTTTCTGCTTTATTTTTATAGGTTAAGATAAAACAGGGTTAGAGTTCGACAATTTAGCTCCACGCTGTGCGGAGATTCACGAACTAGTCCGAGTTGTTACGAGACATGCGCGCGTCTGTGCAAATATTCAAATCGAGGAAAGAAAAAATTCATTAAGACAGTTGACATAATTTTGTTTGCCGCGACACGTTTGAACAACTATCGTGCGCAATGTACAATATTAGTTTTCCTGACGAGACTTCAATTCAGCGATAGCACGTTAAATGAAACTATTAGTCATAAAAGAGAAAAGACTAACTTTTTTTAAGTACATGTCTATATATATTTTTATTATAAAACATTCATCACCTTACGATACGTTTTTCTTTGCAATATTTATATATAAGGTTGCGATAAGACTAATGTATATTTTCATATGTATATATTCTTCATATTTATCTTGTCACAATCAGAAAGAATTGTATTAAGCTTTTTAATATGTCTAAAATAGTATTACTTTATTTACAATCTTTGTTAAAAATTTTATATACAAAAATCTTTATTAACCCCAAGTTTCAACTTGATATCGATTTTCATTTTCCAGTCGTTTAATAAAATTCTCTGCTTCTTCTTCAGTCACTTTTGCCATTTCTTTCACCAAGTTAACCAATTCTTCACGAACACAGTTGGGCATATTTTTAGAATTACCTGCTACATAAATGTTACTGTTTCTGTTCAGCAAGTCCCAACATAATTGTTTTTGATTTCGTATAACGTGTTGTACATATCTAAAATATTTATAAGTAATAAGATATAATTATTTAACAATAAAACAAAATCTTAAAATTGCTTACATTTTGTTTTCTTGATCTCGAGAAAATGCACAAAATAAATATAAATGCAGTTTCTGTGATAAATATTCAAAATCATCTTTACAATGATAATCTTTGTCCTTATTTCTGCATCCAAAGAATAGAACACAGTTGCTTAAATCATTGTGTAATACAGATTTTTCTAATAGAATTGAACGAAATGGTGCAACACCTGTTCCTGGTCCAATAAGTATCATTGGTTTATCGTATGTGAATTTAAATGTTCCTGTCTGTATCCAGAATATTATTTTTTCTTCTTTTTCTAACTTAGCCAACCAATTGGAACACAAACCATATCTTGGTTCTAACAATTTAGTTTTATACTTTACCACAGCTACTAGCAAGTGTATTTCACTTTCAGTAATTTTTGAACTTGATGCTATGCTAAAAGCACGAGGTTTTATGGGAGACATGATTTCAAATAATAGTCTTACATTTAATTTACTAGTTGTGTGAGGAAAATCAGCTAACAATTCTAAAATATTTCTTCTTGGTCTATTAATGTAATTATACAATTCCTCTTGTCCATTTGCAGTTGTAAACTCATAGAACTTTTCTTTTTCTAATTCATTTTCACTAATCTGATACAATACTTGCATTGTACATCGTCTTGGCTTAAAGTTTAGATCCCAATATTGTTCTACAATTTGTTGTAATGTTAAAGTTTGTTTTAAAACAGTGGGAACCTTAACTTCCTTTTCAGAAACTTGAATTCTCATATTTGGATTCAATTCTACATTATTATTACTCAATACATTAAAAAATGTTTCTACTTGTTGTTTAGAATTCTTGGGTCTAACATACACTATATCCCCAGGTTGGTAATTAATGCTATTTGACTTTAATTTAATTAATCTGACATCTTGGAAATGATCTTCAGCTGTAGTTCTTATATTTTCTATTACTGTGCCCACTTTCATTTTATCATTTGTAAGTACTTCTTTCATATAAATATTAGTTTCTGGGTAATAATTGTTATTTACAGAATTTTCATTTATCTCAACAACATTAAATCTTTCAATTATTTTATCTTGATCGTTAATCAAATCTATTGTGTTTATATGAAATGTATCCATAATTTTTATCCACAATTCTTGTACCCAAAGGTCGATAACAGCATCTATCCCCAAGTCATGTTGGTCATCCGCTAATCCAATAGGCAGTAATTCTTTTGCTCCCAGCTGTATCAACCTTTTGTTTAACTTTTTTGCTGCAAAATTAAATTTCCTATAGGAACTATCACCCAAACCTAACACTCCATATTTTACATTCATCAGAAATGTTGTTGGCAGACTTTTTCGTAACAGAAATCTCCAAAATTGTTTCATATTATTAGGAGGATCTCCCTGACCAGTTGTAGCAACTACAAAGATTATCATCCTTTCCGATGTAAGGCTTTTTATATCATAGTCATCCATTGCAGAAACAGAACTATGTAAACCTTTCCTACAATTAATATAACTGTGTCATATACTGGCTAGAAAGTTAAATTAATTTGTCTTTTATGACATTGTTCTGTATACAAAATAGAAAGAGAACAATAACAAAACCTTTTGGCACTTTTCCAAATTTGTTCAGCTACGTCTTCAGCAGTACCGGTTTCACTACCGTATAATATCGTGACATTCGTATTAATCATTTTGACGTTTCTTGGTATAAAAAAATGTCAGGTTTACATTCAGTGGATGAAAATTGAATCGTGTTACGAAGAATCGTTGCAACATTGACTTCCAGCTGATCAGCGTGACGTCATTGGTTTTCTGCAGACGATATCTATAAAAACACAATATTTCGTGGTCAGGTATGTAAACTATAAAAATGAAAAATAATTATCTTCCGTAATGAATGTATTTTGCGAATGTTAACAATCTTAGTCAATCAAATGTCAAGGATAAGTGTCTAGGCTAAGTCCCATTTGGCCCGTAGCCTAAGATATTTATAAATAAAAAAATAGCTTCCCATGTACCTACGTTGTATGAGCGAGTAGTTCTTAACTTTTGCATATCTCTTAATCAACGTCGTAAGAAACACTTGGGAGATTTTAATTTCGATAAAATTATATATATTTGGCACTAAATTGTCGAATATTCTCGAAATTAGTATCAAAGTGTCAAGAGCGATATAAAGGAAAGTGCGTGGTGCGTCTTAAATACCGGAACCGGACATGACACTCTGTGCAACCTTAGTATGAAAGCATTTGAGAAAGTTCAATCGTTCTGTGCGTACTACGACGAAGGTGGTTCGTATGAAGATTTTAGCTATCTTCAAGGACGGATTAATTAAAAGGAATGCACGAGTTATGGTTAAGATGACATTGCGCGTGATGTAACTGCACACTTTTCACAAACTCAGTGATTATAAACTGTAATAACTGAAATTTATGTTAAAAGTAGAAAAGAGAGTAATGACACATTTTAATTTTTTGTGGAATGTAATACATGGTTAAATTTCGTTGTTCAAATTAAACACAGGGGTACTTGAATATTACCAATTTTTGTGTTAAAGGAATTAAGTGCAATTATAGAATATCCAAGAATTGGAGACTCACTATAGACCTCTAGTGGTAAGTTCAGCAGGTATTACTTACAAAATTGTTATTGTTCCATTGGTAATGTTAGGTCGATGTTATTTTCAACAAATTTAAAAAATTTTTTAATATTGAGATATTTATATTAAGAAGTAGCATTTATCTAGGGGAAAAAGCGAAATGTGACTTATTTGTCAATATTTCCGAATGATTTGTTGATTTCGATCGATCAGAGTGGACTCCATTCAAGATTATGTAGTAGAGCTTATATCTTATTCTACACGAACGCACTTGAATTAGTGTTCTTGATATAACCGAATTTATTATCTACTAGGGTATCCGATTAAACAGTTAGTAATCGATTGCTCGGTTGTTATTCGAGGACACGGATAATTCAGTTAATATTAACCGGATAATAACAATTAACGAATACTATCGTGAAAAGAGGATTAAATGATTTGAAGATTTTGAAAATTGTTATATTAAAAAGAATGAAGCGTTATTACGTCATTTGTGAATACAACGTATTTACTTATAGATATTTTCTACGCAAGTAAAAATAAATTGAAGAATATAACGAAGAATGTAAATCACATTTCGATTTTAAAAGTAATTCATATCGTTTGAAAAGGAGAAAAGTATTGTGTCCAATTAGTATGTGTATCGGGCCGATTAATGATAGAATAAATAATAACTCGGTATTAGAGAATATTAATTTGAATATAAAAAGCTTCGAACAATGAAATACTTTCTGAAAACTAGCGAGAATTAGCTATCCTTTGTAGCCCTCTAATGGCAAGTATAGAAGACATCGTTATACAATATTGGTAGCACTGATATCTGTTTGCGGATGATTGTCAAAACCTACTTTCTCAGCGAAGTCTTTAGCTTTGCATGGCAATTCGAAGGATAACATCATGACTGTATTTAACTTGTAGAAGGAAAGGAAGAGCAAAGTGCAGCCAGAAGGAATATCGTGCGTCTGTTTAGCAAGGAGTGAGTGTGTATAAAGAGAAGTTTCTTGTCTCGTTACGTTACGTCGCGTTTCACCCGTTCGACGAGTGACGTGCCTCGGGTCTTCGTCGGTGGGGAAGAAGACTACTTCGATTCCAACGCGAGGAGAGAAGGCGGGCTTTCGTCCTCGCTGAAATTGATTTCGCGACTGTGCCTTAACCTTCTCTCTTATTTAAATACGATTACAGTGGGTTCCTGGCCGTAGTGCGTGATTCTACAACTGATCCACGTCTCTGTCTTCACGTCAGGTTCAGTACGATCAGCCGATACATTGTACTTCGATGGAGCTTATTCGCGCGTGACAACAACTTTCGGGACACCAGGCTCAACTTTTGCCAGGTAGCCCCTCTTGTGATCTATCAGCCGTGCGAGACTTGCTTTGTTCCGTAAAATCCTGTCCACATTTCTCCTTGACGTGACGCTTGTGCGACATAAAAGCGCCAGAGGTCAGTCACATTTCAAACCTCTATTACAGTTTGCCGCGTTTTGATTTTGAAATACTTAGTCTCGCCAAGGAATTTTGTGTCACGTTATCGAAAATTTTATTGTTCGACGAATACTGTCATGTTTTTATGTGTATGTTATTTTAAATATATATATATATATATATGTATATATATATATCATACATACATGTACATATATGTACATATATGTTAATAATGCTAATACTTGTTTTTTTTTCATTTAATTGATATACTTATAAATAATACTTACGTTTCTATTGAATTCATACCTGCTCTTTTTGTTTCTTTGCAGATTTCAATAGCTGTCTGTATTCACATTACTGTGACAGCTTTTATTTTCTTATATACAATCGACATGTGTACCACATGACATGAACTTCGTTCTATGACTAATGAGTAGTATCACCAATGTTTATGGAAATTACCTTCGTGCCGTATCTTGTGACACAAAAATATGCGAAATTCTATCATCATAAGCAACAATAACGATCTGTCAAGATATTTAATGTAACTTTTGCTTCACACTTGTGCTTTATAAATACATTTCATTCGAGTATCAACATTAAACTGTCTATGCATTAGAGACGATAGAATTTACACGATAAAGGGTTATACTGAGAAAATGAATAACAGGCTTGAAGAACAAGAGTCAAAATGGACCTGTGAATATTGTACATATGAAAATTGGCCTTCATCTTTGAAATGCACAATGTGCAGAAGTGCCAAGCCTTTATTAGGGGAGGATATTTATCGTTTAAGGGATCCAAGTCCGCAAAGATCTGGATCAAATGTTGCATCTGGTCCAATAACTCATTTAAGTCCTACGGATTCTTATAATATTAATCCTCAGAATTATAGTCAGAATGTACCATCAGGTGGCAAGTGGTCTTGTGCAATGTGTACCTATCTTAACTATCAAAATACCACACGTTGTGTTCAGTGTGGAAATAAAAAACCCATGGGTCTTAATCAATCTATACACTCCATAGCTTCAAACTTGCACGAACACCTAGCACCTCTTAGGCTTGGAGATCCACCACCAAATTCAGGATCTATTCCTCCTCCAATAAATTTACATCCAGAAAGATATTATAATTTACAAAGTAATTTACATCCTGAAAAGTGGTCTTGTCTTGTGTGTACTTATGAAAATTGGCCAAAAGCTACGAAGTGCGTGATGTGTGGTAATCCTAAAGAAAAAGACAGAAGAGATAAAAGTACTAATAATGTAGGTGTTATTTTGCCAAGTCCAGAAAGAGATCACAGTCAACGCAACTTACCTTCTCCACCTCATGCACCATATATTCATCAAACTCAAAGGGATGAGAATATGGCTGTAGGACGAAGGTAAACGCATTTTATCTATTGTTATGATATTACAGATGACAATCTTAAGTATTGTAAGTCTTCTCATGTTGTAGGAGTTCGCATAGATACCCTGATAGCAGAAATGACAATTTGTCAACTCCTCAATCTCCTAATAATTGTGACTATGAACGTAGATTAAAGCAGTTAAGGCGTCACACTGATTGGTGCTGGTTAAATGCATGTCTCGGCATTGTGGAAGGTGACAATTCTCCTGTCGAGGCTTATTTGGCAAGCGGTGGTGATCCTGCTCGTCAGTTGACACATTCAGAAGTTCTACTTCTAAATAGAAGTAGTGCTTTTGACGTTGGGCATACTTTAGTACATTTAGCAATTAGGTCAGTGGAAAATAATTTTGAACAAATATTTTTAAAAATTTCGGATATGTTTCGACTTGTTTATTACATGTGCAGCATAACAAATGTTGTGATATGTTGTATAATATATAATATTGTGTCAAAAAATTAAAATTTTCAAAATTTTTCGTTTTTAACAGATTTCAAAGAGAAGATATTCTAGCAACATTATTATCACAAATTGAAGGTTCTGGTTCTGGAGTGAAAAGGGTACCAAGTTATGTTGCACCAGATTTGGCTGCTCAGATACGCAGACATGTCACCAATAGTATCCGGTTATGCAAGGGATCCTTTCCATGTTACTTTGTCACTGATATAGCTACATTCGCTTTGCCTGCTGAGGTTACTATAATATTATAATTTCTTTTTCGCAATATAACAGCTTGTTAAAACATTAATTCTTTAATATGGTATTAAGTTATATATAGTCATGTAAATGCAAATGAATAATTAATTGTTAGGTAGAAGATTTACCAAGCATTGTGCAAGAACAATTATTGGAGGAATTATTAGATAAGGAAGCTCAACAACAATTAGAAGGTGGTTGTGGAGAACCACCGGCACTAAATTGGTCCTTAGAAATTACTGAACGTTTAGGAAGTCGCTTACATGCACTTTGGAATAGATCTGCTGGGGACTGTTTATTAGATTCTGCAATGCAAGCTACTTGGGGTGTTTTTGACCGGGACAATGCTTTGAGGCGTGCCCTTGCCGATTCTTTACAACAGGCTGGTCAATTGTAAGTTCATCTTTACTTTCACATGAAAAAAACGATGTTATTCCTTAAGAATAAATTAACTCATTTTTTATATTCCTGTTATCTCAGTTTTTATCCACGGTGGAGAGAATACGAAGCATCTCAAGCGTCTAGAATGTTGGACTTTACATTAGAAGAAACACAGTGGCAGGAAGATTGGGAAAGCTTGTTGGCAACGGCTGCGCAACCAGGAAGCGCATTGGAGCAATTACATGTATTTGCTCTTGCTCACATCTTACGACGACCTATTATTGTTTATGGGGTTAAATATGTTAAAAGTTTCCGGGGTGAAGACATAGGTAATTTATTATATAAACTTTATTCTTTGCATATGCAACAATGATTATACAACTTATATAATTAAACACTTTTTTAAAGGTTATGCAAGATTCGAAGGTGTTTACCTTCCACTTTTATGGGAACCTTCATTTTGCATTCGATCGCCTATTGCTTTGGGGTATACGCGGGGTCACTTTACAGCTCTCGTACCTATTGAACCATACGCATCGTCTAGAATACCACCCCTTTCATCCCATGGCGGTGGTAATGGTCCACTTCAGCAATTACAAATACAAATGCAGACGACGTTTATGCCGTTAATGGATCGAGAACACAAATTGTTACCAATACATTTCTTAAGTCCAGAAGAAGTAGGTCGGGAAGAGTCGATTTTAAAGGAATGGCTTGATGTGTGTAGAACTGAAGGTGGTGTACTTGTTGCGCAACAAAAGCTTCATAAGAGACCCCTACTCGTAGCACAAATGTTAGAGGAATGGTTAAATCATTATCGAAGACTCGCGTAAGTAAGACATTTCTCTTTTGAATTTTATTTTATTAATCTCTCACGTTGAATTATTTAAACGTAATTGTACAATTATTATAGTCAAACGAACAATGCACCTTTCCTGAGACCACCCGTTTTGCAAGATTACAGCAGCGATGGCGACACGGAGGATGAATAACGAGGTGCAATTGGTTAAGTTAACTAAATTCACACGAGAAGACTTTTTTCCATAATTTCGTCGAGGCTGCAATTACAACGCAAGATCTCTGAGATCCGTAGCTTCCAGAATGTGTGGTAGGCAAAGCGTATAGACTTTGCAATATACTTCGTATTTATTGGAGTTGAATTACAACTACGTAATTTTTGTACATCATTATTGGTCAACGAACCAATTCGAATTCTTATTGAGTCGTACTATTAATTATACCGGATGTTTATGAATTAATTTGAATATTTTATAATAATATATTATTAATCTCCAGAAGTATCGTATGATTGCGAGACAAAGTAATTGTCATTTTGCCAAATTATAATTCCGAGTATAAGCGGTACGTTAACGAATGAAATTTTGTTGTGGCTAAAAGTGCTTCGACTTCTCGATTGGTTCCTGTTCGATAAGGCGGATACGTTACAAAAGTATGGTTCTGTACTAAGTAGAAACTACTTCATATTAATTTCCATAATATATTTATAACGAGAACGTTATATTTAAACACTGTTAACAAGTATGATACGAATTACTGTCGATTGTGTATTTCCAATCCACCGCAGTGTAAGTATTGAAAGAAAACGAAAGTTGCACATTAAATTAGCATAAAGTTAATACCGATGCATTCGCGGTTGACTTGTTTCTTTCTATAAATAGGACAGAAAATATCCGTGGTTAAAGAAATTAAGGATGAAAGAATTCTCGATTATTAGTTGCGAAAACAAATATTTGTTCGTGGATGAGCATATAAGAAATGTATAAAAGAAAAAGAGGAAAAAACAAAAAAAGACCGCCGGTCGCCACTTATTATCTGATCAAGCGTGAAAGTACTTGGTGACTCTGGTACAGACCATGTGATTTTTAAAGATTGTAAATACGGGCCGAAAAATATTCTGTAATTGTCTTTGAACCACTTGTTATCTTCGAGCTGTGTTAATTAGCGTAAATGCGAAATGACAACGACCCTTCCCTCTGACGTAAGGCAGGGGGAACGTTGTATTTCCTTTATGGCCGCTTCTAGTATATTAATGGAACAATGACGAAGTACCAGTTAAACTGTACTTTCTTCTTTGTGCGAGGGTAAAAAGGGAAAAGAAGAAAAAGAAAAGTACGGAGTAGAAGGAACATTCTGCGAGGTAATCAACCACAAGGTGTTAGATATCGCAATCGTAGGAGTACTAGAACTTTTATAAAAGGAGAACAAAAAAGCACATAAGGGCAGAGAAACAAGTAATACTATTTAAGCACCAAGATTGCCCTTGGTACCTACTCTATTCGTGAACGGATAAAGATTTATGGTAACTGGCTTGGCCAAATATAATGAACCCTAATCAAAAAAGTACAAAAAATCGTCAGAGGGAAAATGATGTTTCTTTACGAACGCGTTACATAGTTCGCTTAATATTTAGTCCCCGTTTTTACTAATTCTAATGTAGCTTCTAGTCCTTTTTAGCACCGTCATTTTTTTTCTAATCACACGCGGCATGTGATTTAATTATGTAATTACTGATGATCTTGATGATGTTTGTATAGGGATGATATTCAAGTCAATTCCATGTTTTAACGGCACGCAAGCGCCGTGTTAGGAGCGCGGAGGATCGACGATGTCACTGTTACTGTACCTTCCCTTTCTTTTTTTCTTATTTTTTTTTTATTTTTTT